ATGCAATTATGTTAAATAAGTGTTAAAACGACTAATAATTTTAATATCAAACTTGGAAAATATTGAATAACACAACGTTCTTGATATTTACTCCACTGGAAACGAATATTAGCCCTAGAACCGATTACTGTATTGGCGGACTAATCTTCCAGCTGGTGAGCAAGCCAAAACATGTTGACATGTTGACATAGAACATATTACTGAATTGGCAGACTGGGCCATCAGCTGACCAGCTGATGCTCTCAACAAAACGTGATTTTCGTAAGAATTTCGTTAACCAAATTTTTGTTCGTTAACCGAATTGAAGATTCTTATGGAAGGTAATTCGTTAACTGAAATTTCGTTAACCAATGCATTCGTTAACCGAGGGACCACTGTAATACATATACTAAACAAAGAGCTATTTTTATTTTGAAGGGAAGAATTTTTTGAGGGTAGCAATGTTTAACTTGCTTCTTAGGAATACATGCCATTGTTTACTACTCATAAAGACACTACCTGCTCAAAGTTTTCTTAATTGGCAAGGGATGGAGGGGGGGTGTCGCTTGGCCAGGATGTAAATTATCATGATGAATAACTGCTTGATGCTCATGGCCACATATTTCAAGCAGTTATAAAATAGCATAATAATAAGGCCTCTGAGCACTGGCACTTTAATATTAGCCTGCTACAAGTTGTTACTGGCATATAAGTTATAATACAGTACAGTCATGCGCCGGTTAACGTCCTAGATACGTTCTTGGAAACTTGACGTTAACCGAAATGGACATTGTCCGATCATCACATAAACTTTGTATTTATACTTACTTGTATGTGGAATACTACAGTATATACGTACATATACACTTTTACTCTTAAATCACTTCCGTAATGTGATACAGGTGATTAATTTTTACCTCTTGTGCAAAATACATGACGTTTATATTCAAATTATTCACCGTTTTACAAGGATTCCAGCAACGCTGGGCAGAGGGAGGGAGGGAGGGAGGGAGGGAGGGAGGGGAGGTAGTACGTTTGACACTTGGCACAGGCCCAGGTCTAAAGCGTGTATATTTATCAGTTCTTAAGTGACTAAGCTTCTCTCTTATAAAAAGCCAGTGAAATGACCTGGATGAATATAATTAACATTGTTGGGATTCTTGTAAGATACTGATTAATTTGAATATAAACATGCTATAATTTGCACTAGGCATAACAATTTTAGTACCGTAATCAAATTAGTACATGTGCACTCAAGCTTTGCACTAAAGTCATTTATTTCTTTTACGTTTCTTTTAGTATGGTGTGTGCATGTAAATGGATGAAAATAAATGAAGAAATTTATGTAAATCTACCCAAAAATACGGTTGAAAAAATTTATATTATAAATGTACTACAGTACTGTACACTAATGTACAACAATTTTTATCTCATGAGCAAAATATATGACATTTATATTCAAATTAATGGCTGTCTTGCAAGGATTCCAGCAATGCAAATTATAATCTAACTTTAGTCTGAGATATTATATAAGATAAAAACTGTAAGCCTAAAACCCTGGCTGGGAGGGACGGAGACAGCCAGCCAGCGAGGGGAGGGGGGGGTTGAGGTGATATGTTTGACAGTTTGAGCCGAAGGTCTCTGCGTGTTTATTAAACAGTCCTACTAAGCTTCTCTCATTTTAAAATGCCAGTGAAATGATCTGGGAGAATATAATTAACATTCCTGGGATTCTTGTACAATACTGACTAATTTGAATATAAACATGCTGTAATTCGCACTAGACATAACAATTTTAGTACCGTAATCAAATTAGTACATGTGCACTCCAGCTTTGCACTAAGGTCATTTATTTCTTTTAGGTTTTTTTAGTATGGTGTGTGCATGTAAATGGATGAAAATAAATGAAGAAATTTATGTAAATCTACCCAAAAATTCAGTTGAAAAAATTTATATTATAAATGTACTACAGGTTGCACCTCTCTAGTCCGGCATTCTGTGGTCCGGAAACTCCCGTGGTCCGGAGCGATTTTAGTTTGTCCAATAGGTAGATAGGCAGCTTTTTTTTCTTTTTTTTCTTCTTTTTTTTTTTACTTATGTGAATTATTATTACAGGAGTATTAAATTTTTGCCCCTCAGGCCCCAATGTGGGTCAGTGACCTATGCCCGGGTGGGCTAATCCCCTTAAAAAAAAAAAAACAGCCGCGGGAAATTAAGGTTTGTTTACATCCGGCAGTTCGGCTGCTCTCTCTCTCTCTCTGCTTGTCTATACAGAGTACAACATTTAACCCTTCAATATATATGAGCAGTAAATAAGTGTTGCTTTCATATTCTTATGTAGAGTAATGACGATATGTTTTCACATGTGCACACTTACATACGCACAGTCTCACTTTTTTTTACCATTAATGGTTAGCTACTTATATTGTTCCATTTATTAACATTAAATAACATTACAGGTACTTCAAGCAACCATATTCATTTTTTACATTAATTTTACTACAGCTAAACTCAGGGTCTTATTTTCTTCAGTTTTATATGTAGAACCAATCAGTCGCTGGTTTCGTAAGCTTTAACATAAACAATGCCGGCAGCCGTCTCGTCTCCTCTAATATTCCACGTATTATTAATAAATTGTATTGTTAATTTTGCACACGCACACATTAATTCAATAAAAACAAATTCAGAAACATTAATTAAAATATATATGAACAGTAAATAAGTGTTGCTTTCATATTCTTATGTAAAGTAATGACGATATGTTTTCACGTGTGCGCATGCGCACTTACATATGCGATCTCTCTTTTTTCTTTACCATTATCGTTAGCTACTTCTATTGTTCCATTTATTAATATTAAATAACATTACTTAAAACAACCATATTAATTTTACTACAGCTACAACCAAGGTCTTATTTTCTTCAGTTTTATATGTAGAACCAGTCAGTCACTGGTTTTGTAATCAACGAAAACAATGCTGTGTCATTTCCTCGTGTGTTTTAATATTCTACGTATTATTAATGAATTGTATTGCTCATTTTGCACACATAAACATTAATTCAATAAAAAAGACATTCAGTAATAAACAAAAATGAATCTTTTGTACATAAGAGAAATGACGCTGTTTACACGATTATGCACGTCGTCTGCACGTTGGCGGGCCGTTCAAACCCGTCGAAATTCAAGTTTCCGCCGTCAAATTTTTTTTTATTTTTTTTTTGTGTGTTCCAATAAAATTCGTTAAGATTTAAAAACTCGCGAAATTTGAGAAGCTACTATACGACATTTAACCCTTCAATATGTCTTCAAAGAGACCATGATGCAGAGAAAGTGGTGCTAGTGCTTCCAAGCATAAGCACAAGTCACTATCTATCCAGGAAAAGGGTGAATTTCCATGGTCCGGCAATTTCCATGGTCCGGCACCGGTCAGGTCCCGAGGTTGCCGGACTAGAGAGGTACAACCTGTACAGTATTGTACACTAATGTACTACATTTTTTTTTATCTTGAGCAAAATATATGATGCTTATATTTAAATTAATCTGTCTTGCAAGGATTTCAGCAATGCAAATTATATTATCCTAACTTTAGTCTGAGATGTTATATAAAATAAACATAAAGAATTCACCAATCTTTTGTCTGGGAACACAAGGAGGGAGGCAGCCAGCGAGCGTGGGAAGAGGGGGGGCGCAGGGGGGTGGGGGGGGTTGCGGGAGGTGAGGTGACAGAGTGTCTGGTGTTTGTTTATTTATTTGAGATAAGATTTGACAGTTGGCGCTGAAGGCCTGCGTGTTATTTATCATTACTTAAGAGTGACTAAGCTCTTCTCATAATTTGCCACCCAAACGACCTGGGTGAATATAACTTACATTGCTGGGATTCTTGTAAGATAGTGATTTATTTGAATACCTGTATAAACAATCTATATTTACAATAGACATAACAATTTTAGTACATGTACAGTACAGGTTGGCACTTAGATCCATTGTATTGCTGTCCTTGTACTGTACAATATTGACTAAATTCACTAGATAACGTACACAACTAATGGTTGGTAAAACTTGTCAAGTAAGTGAGTGTCAAGTCTGTCAGTATGAGTGGCACGTGTGAGTGCTTGTGTCCCCCATTATAGGAGTCCGTTTTCTCTCGCTTCAGGATGCCTGAGTCCGTTTTCTCTTAATCTTAGAGTGCAGTGCACCAGAGACTTCGTTATTCCCTAGTAATGACACAGAATTTGAAATTGCAACCCCAATTTCAACTGGGGTTGCAATTGTTGAGGCCACTGGATATGTCTGATTACAGCAAATGTGTTATTGTCAATTTGTAGGTGAAAGATTTTATCCTCAATAGATGTAGGTTAACATTACACCTGGAGGCATATGCTTACTAAAGCCTAAGGAAGGATATTCCTTTAACACATAATATCTGGCCAGTATGGGAAGGATCATTGTGTTTTCGTCAGGGTTCGTGGAGTGGTGGTCCAGCAGGCGTCACCGAATGTTTTTATTTTTTTTTTTTTGGGGGGGGGTGGGGGGGGCCACGGACGTATATGCGATCGGACGTTGTTCGGTTGGACGTTAACCGGAGCATGACTGTACTAACAACCAGGGCTTCTACACTAAGTCTCCACTCACTAGTACTGTACAGTATCTACAGCCTATTTAAACCAACTCTCAAATATTTCAAAACATATAAATGGTGCATCAAGATTGTAATGTCACTGGGCAATAATACAACACAACACCAAAGTATCATTATTGAAAATTTGAGAGTGGATAAGTAATCTTCACCACATACTATCTTTTAATGTAGTTAATGTGGTACGGCAGAAGGCACTAAGAAAAAACCTGAAATATAAACAAATATTTAATGTACTGTATACAGTATAATTCCCTGACTTATTTATTAACTGTTCATTTCTCTGTGACAATCTTTTATAATAAAGAGTTGGGTGGACAGATCATACAACTGTACTGTATATTTCTCTTTGTAACAAAGACTCCAGGAAGAATTTTTATACTCACCCTTGCACGATTTATTAATTTTCTTTTTTTCCATGGCTGTTGAACTATGGCATAGATGGGGTATGTGACAATGTCATATATACACACTCCAACTCTGATGAGGTTCACACCAAAATTTATGGCAAAGTCACCCATTGTAAGACTGCAAAACAAAGAGAAAAATAGGTTAATACTCCACACTGTAAATAGTGGAATTACACAAAAGAATATCATTGAGAATGATGATTATAAACAGATTGGAAACTCATACAGTAATAAGAAAAAAAATTTACCACTAGCTACATGAAACTGTGAGATGAGTTTAGATGCACAGTAAATGGCATCAGGACTACTCAAGTATGGTCAGCTTTTCTTTTCTTTTTAATATTGTTTCAACTCAGCTTCATAAGTATCAATACCATCAGCTCATACTAAGGTTCATTTTTACACACAAACAGTCCCATTTTTTGCCTGAAAAATGGCAAAAAAAATCGGCCCAAGTCTTATATGTGAAGTTGGGGTCTCCAGTAAGCTAATTAGTCCCCCAGTTGCTGTCTCCAGTAGCCTAAATTCTACCTAACCCAACTCCAAAATTAAAAATATGTTATTGCCTATGGGGGCATAGATTAATTTCCACTAAGGTAAGGGACACCCATATTTAGGGTGTATATCAACTTCCTTGGATATTTTTAAATGCCTGCTAATCTCTTTGGACCCTAGAACTATAAATAAACATCTCAAGTTGTCTGGCATACACCCCCGCGCGCAATCACGTAACTAGGCCTCGTGTTTCTTGGCAACTCGCGAGTACCTTCACCTGTCCCACTCTGTAAGGATGTCGTCACATCGTGCTATCAGTGACGCCAAAATAAACTCAATTCTCTTTGATGAGGCTGCTCCTTGTGATGCTGAGGAGCCATTAGAATCGGACAGTGATCCAAGTGATTCTGATGATGTCAATGACCCTGATTACCCACATGATGACAAGGATAGTGAGAGTAAGAGTGATGTTGATAACCCTGAAACCATACACCCAACTCCACCACCAAATACATCACTCCATCACCTACTACATCGACCCCAAGACCAAGATGAGACTGCACAAGCCACACTGTGTCCCTGACTACACCTTCAACATGCATCTGGTTGACAAGTCTGACAGCATGACCTCCAGTACATTAGATTGTACCATGAAATGGTAAAAAAAAAAAAAAAAACTATTCTTCCATCTTTTGGACATGTCCCTTCTGAATGCACACATTCTTTATTTAGTGAAGACAGGTAAAAAAAAAATAACTACACTCCACGAGTTTTCATTAAATGAGGTAAGGCAGCTTTTGGAGACCAATGCAGTACTTTATCAGAGACCTGGAAATCGTCTCGCAGCTGGTGGTGAACTCCCTTTACGACTGACTGCTCAACACTTCCCTTCAGTGATTCCTTCCACTGGGGCAAAGCTGTATGCCCAGAAAAAATCTGATGTGTGCAGTACGAGTGAAATCCACATCAAAGTACACAAAGACACTTGCTATCAGTGTAAAGTTGCTCTGTGCCGGATTCCATGCTCCCAACAATACCACACCCTTCAAAAGTACTAAAGCACAGGAAAGACTTTTGTAAATAGTGTAAATATATATAATTTATCATTATTTTAGGGTATCAACACAACATTATGTGGTGGTGGCGACAGTGTATTGGTGGTAAAACTGTACAGTACAAATTTGTGCCTTACCCGATAGCATATGTCATGTGTCAATTCCTTAAAAGTGCCTCATTGAATAATACTGTATCTATATATTTGAGAACAATAAATAGTAAAATTAGTGTAGAATTATGAAAATGTAAGCTGTTTTATGTAAGTGCTGTCTGAAACTCACTGCAGCATGTTTAATGTGGAGCAGATGCCTCTCTCTAAAGGTAGCGGCACACTGGACACTTTTCTCCAAACATGTTCGTTGTGCTGACAATTGGCCTGATGGCCCAGCCAGCAGCAATATTTCTGTTGTTGCGAGAAATGGACAACAGTTTGGCAGGGATCTTTGTTGGCTGGAATAGTGCTCAAATGAACTTCAAGTAAAAATTTTAATAAATCATGAAACAATGATAATTTAAAATATAATACATAAACGGTGACATATTTCTATTTATTCGTCACTTTAATTATTAAATCATTATTCAGGGTCTGCATTGACCACCCAGCTGCTGCCACTTGTAAACAAACTTCACGACGAACCCATCGTCTTTTCTTTAGCTTTTGCAGACGCCATACTTGCTTCAGCAATTGATGAACTATAGCACAATCCTGCAAGACATCAACTGTAGTAACGGGATCCATGGCAAACCTCGTGACGCTGTGTTGTTGTTTTCGTTGTGTTGGGCAGACGCGTCAACAAAACATCGCAATGTGACACAAAACGTCTCTTTGTTTTGCTGGCCGGACCATGTTAACATGTTTGGAGGAAAGTGCCCAGTGTACCGCCGCCTTAAGGCACATTCCATTTAGATTTGCCACATGTCAATAAATAAATAAAATATGTTTGATTTCCATTTTTCTACTCGCCTACCTATCCAGTACATGTATCATATACAGTAATTACAAGTCTTGTATAAAAAAAGGGTAGAAATAACAAAATAAAGTAGTATAAAATAAATTCAGAGTGATTTGTCTCCCAGGTCATGCAGAGATCGTGACAACGTTGGATTTAAAAAAATCGTGGCTGGTTCCCATGGAAACGGAGATGCTACACAATGATTCCTACGTTTCTGCCAACATGAGACTTGAGCTGCCACTTTCTAACCGTTTCATATTATTTTAGACATCATTATCTACCGTAACCTTTCCAGCAAAAAACAGACATTAACTTTTTGGTAACCAGGGGGAGGTATCTAGGTTTATTATATGGAAACCACATAAGGGTTAAACGCATTATTTTTATTATTATTATTATTATTATTATTATTATTATTATTATTATTAATTAATTGAAAATATAAAAGCTGGATTTATCACTACTATACTGGATGATAACCTGAGACAATGAAAGTCCGTACAGCAGTCACCCAACTCTTCAGATGTAGCATAGCAATAACCATATCTGAACTCTTACAAGCATTACAATCAATGGACGAGTTGACGGTTCAGGGTAAACACAAGAAATACACTCTGCCACATTCGTAGAGTGATACAGTATATATAATTTGAAATAAAAGTTTAAAGTCCTGCTATAATAGTCGAGATAACTTTATTTCTCTAGAAACAGCTGCAGTCGTAGGTAGTAGAAAGAATGGCCTCTTCAGACCCCAAATGCCACGTTCAGATAAGTTTTAGGGTTTTTTCTTTTTATGGTTTTAAGTCATGCACATTTTATAAGTGAATAAATGTGCCGTGAAGAGTAGATTTAAACATAGGTTGGATGGACATATGAGCGATAGGGGTTGGGTGTAAATGGGACTGCCCGTGCCCAGTACGGGCCAATAGGGCTGCTGCAGTTTCCTCCTTTCTTATGTTCTTTTGGGCATAAGAACTCCCATGTTCACACCAGCTCTGCTGTCATCTACTCTTACCTGGTAAACTTTTCTTCTTTTTTTTCAGTGCATTTACAGAGTATATCAGTATTAGATGGAGATACGAGTAAATCTGGAAGTGATGACATTGTCTGAACTTTGTTTTGATAATGCCTGGTGCTGGGACAGTAGGTAAACATGATTAATATTAACCTATCCAAACTTAACACCCCATCTAGTCTTATGGTGTTTAATCATCAGGTGAAAGTAGGAGAGATTCTTAATCGTAATGAGATCCAGTACAGGTATACCCTGAAAACCAACGCCCCAATAACCGCCGACTACATATAAGGAAAATACCCCACAAGTTTCGTTGATGCTCCAGAGATCCGACGATCAGGAGCAGAGCGGTTTTGAATTTGGCTGGCGGTGGCATGGTGAGAATGCTTGCCACGAGAGGGCTCTGTGCACTGCCTCTGACTCATTCCCGTCATATTTGCTCTTGTTTACACCGAGTGTGTTATGTAATCATGCCTAAATACCCCAATAATATTTCGTCTTGTAGGCTTGATGTGATGTGATAAGCAGAGTTGTAAAGTAACTAAGTAAATTTACCTGAGAACTGTACTCAAGTAACATTTCTGGGTATTTGCTTTTTAAAAAGTACTTAAATTTTGTAGTACTTTTCCTTTTACTAAAGTATGGTTTTCTAATACCATACTTTTGCTCCAATACAATTGAAAAAACAAAAGGCGTTACTCAATACAGTCATGCGGCGGTTAACGTCCGACCGAACAACGTCCGATCGCATATACGTCCGTGCCCCCCCCCAAAGTGACGCCTGCTGGACCACCACTCCACGACCCCCTGACGGAGACACGATGATCCTCCCCATACTGGTCAGATATTATGTGTTAAAGGAATATGCTTCCTTACTTAGGCTTTTTTTAAGCATTTGCCTACAGGTGAAATGTTAACCTACATCTATTGAGGATAAAATCTTTCACCTACAAATTGACAATAACACATTTGCTGTAATCAGACATATCTAGTTGCCTCAACAATTGCAACCCCAGTTGCAATTGGGGTTGCAATTTCAAATTCTGTGGCATTACTAAAAATAGTAAAGTTTCTGGTGCACTCTAAGATTAAGAGAGAAAACGGAGGACTCAGGCGTCCTGATGTGAGAGAAAACGGACTCGTATGATGGGGGACCAAATAAAAAAAAGCATAGCTACATGTTTTGTGGACTACAGTATTAAGCGTACCCTTTTCATCACTTTGTAATAAACCTAGCCATGCCTATGTGTGTTTATGATATTTACGCAGTAACTTAATTCAATAGAGACTGGCCCGACCCCCAAACTCCACTTTTTCCGACACAATACCTATGTTGTAGTAAAAATAACATCTAAATTTTATGATGGTATGCTCACACAATTAATATTTGAGAGAAATACAGTTGCCAGGTTAATGTCCATTCAAATAATGGACTCAAATCCCCCCCCCTCTTCCCAGCTCACTGGCCCCTACCTCTCTGAGAAATGATTGGGTGAAACACTAGATTTTAACGTTTAGTAATAAATAATACCTCAGACTAAAGTTAGGATAATATAATTGACATTTCTGGATTCCTTGCAGGTCAGGGAATATTTTGAA